AGGTTTTTCACTTTTTAATTGTGATTAGTTTCTGTTGAAGTTTTGAAACAGGAAAAAAGGAGAAGTGTATCTATTAGTTCAGTTAAGCATGAAAAAATGAATCAAGATGAATAAAGAGAACACTCAGTTTTCAGAGAGAAGTTGTTGTATTTCAGCACACTGTAATTAGGTCATTGAGTGATAGTTGCGTGTGTCAAGGTATGGAGCTTGATAGAGCGAACAAATAACAGTCCACAATCAGACATTCAACTCGTTCAGATTTATGAGAAATTTAAATGATGTTCGAGGTCCAGCTGAATATTGGAATGTTACAGGCAATGCTTTTAAACCAAGTTCAATATCTTGTAGCATCGCTAATCATCAATCAGCTCGATATTCAACACCCGCATAATCATTGATTTTTACGTCATTTATTCCTAACATGTCTTTGTTATATTTGAGTTTCGATCGATTTTATGCAAACATCAGAAAGTCTTCATCGAGAACAGTATTAGATTTCATTTTACATGGAATTGTTGTATTGTCGACTAGTAGTGAATCGTGGTAAGATTATATTCCTCTTTGCTCGCAAGCTTTAAAACTTGTTTATAATCTCCTAGCATGACATACCAAATATAGGCCAATTAGAAGAGCGATAGCTCTTTTACTTGTTCTATAGATGCGTCTGGTATAACAGTAGTCGAAATCGTGAACTTCATGGTATGTTTTCGTTTTCAGAAAGTATAGAACGCAGCTCGTGTAAGAAAAAACATTCGACGATCATCTGCTCTAATTTTTTTCAAAAGTGTGACACTCGTAAAAATAGCATCTAATCAATCTACAGTGTTCTTTCCATGGCTGGTATAAACGGGCAATATGGTCTTAAAAAAGGAACAAAATGAGTATCGTAAACAATTAACATTGTATTTATGTAATGCATCACAAATTACCTAAGATTCCTAATTAAAATCGGCACTTTAACAATGATATTCAGCAAACCTAATGCTACGGGGCTATGGATGTTTTCCTAAATTGTAGGCATCATATCTCTTCGAATTCTATGAGGGGGAAGCTGATATTTTAAACACTGGTAATTTCAATCAAGGTTTACTAAAGAAAAAATTTTGGAGAAATTCTGACATGTAGTTATCGAGAAAATCGAGGTTCAACAAAAGATTTTTCAGTTATCTCCAGACTCTTGATACCCATATATCTCCAATCAAGAATATCTTTTAGAGCCTAGATAGAATTCACTTAAATGAGCATAGGATTTGCTTTATTTTGATTCTAATTTGTCAGTGTCTCCAGATTACTATATGGATTTTATACGCAATTCAAATTAAGGATAAAGTTCTATTTTTTCAATGTTTGCAAACACTTCCAAACTATGAGTTTTAGAGATATTGCTATGGAAATTTTTGTATAGAGACAACTTTTTATGTTCTATCCAATGATAAAATTGAAACTTCCAAAGAACGTTGTTGAAAGACAAAACAGACCAATTTTGGGGGCTAATTTTCGCCAAAATCGACTTTTGAGTCTATCATATCAACGTTAGCGCATAATTAAAATCGAAACGAAGTATGAATTCTTACATAACTCGGTGAGATCTACAAAACTAGCATGGTTAAATCTTGCCGGCAAAAAGTCGTGTATAAAGTGGACGGACCTGTGTGGAAGTACCTATATATTTATTCAACTATTTACTCATTATTCATTTAAATTATTCAATTTTTTTCTCTAGTTGTTGTCAATTTTGATGTAGAATGATAATCCAGTACAATATTCATATCTGTGATGCAATTAAAAAATAATTGTATTCAGTGATTTTTATCTTCTACATATAATTCATTCGCTATCCGAGTTATTATCGAACAATATATTGGTTATATATTCACAATAAAAAGCTTTATTAAATAAATTTCATATTCGAGCTTGAATTTTTTTTTGTACAAATTTATCGAGCAAAATATAGATTCTTGACGTAGGGTCGAGCAATACTTATTTTCTGAATTATTTAATTATTTTTCTAACAAATACTGATCAACGTTTTTCATCTATGAAGTTTCGTAATCACCCACGCAGACAGATAAACGCCAAAACGCCGTTTTGACGTGTTGAATGGTAGAATAGAAGAAAACAACGCTTTATAATGCGTTGACTGAACACATGAAGAAATAACCACGTTTCAACGCGTTTAGACAAAAAAATGAAAAAAAATGCATTATAACTCATTAATATGATGAATCAAAACGTTGAACCCATTAAGACGGGTTTATTCTTGTGTAAACAGATTTTAATGCATTTCATAGGCAAATTGTAATGATTTGATGCGTTTTAATGTATTTTTATATATCAAACAGGATCAACTAAATAGGTATCGTTTAAACTCGTTTACTGTTACTTTTATTTTTTGTTCTAGTAACAACGCGCTTTAACTTGAATAAAACGAAAGCTTTCCACAAAGTTATCCATTTCTCCTATCCTGTTGGTGATAGCGCTAACCAGTAGCATCGAACTTCTTTGTTTCGTTGTTACAACAAGACGAAGAGCAACACTCATAACTATTCAGTAATTCCTATTGTTCCTTATTCAATCAATACATATCATTCTATTTATTCCCAAGCATATAAGTTTATAAAAAAAGAGTCTTAATTAAATATTCTGTAATACAAGTAGGGATCCGTTTTTTTATTTCATCGATTCTCTGCTTAAATTTATTTTTCGTGCGCTAATCTTCTCAAGAATAACTCAGTCAAGTAAGTCCAAAAATCTCTTTTTCAAAATCAAAAATATTATTTTGATCATAAAAATCACTGAAGGTTCACATATTGTTTTTCACTCTTCCTCAGTTAGATCTCTATTCTTGTCAAAATAATTATATATCATTTCAACAATAAAAGTATTCACCGACTAAAATTTAATTCCAATTATTCGAGGAAAAAATATTATATTCATAACAAATTTTAATATGAATCTGTTAAATCTACATCAAAAAGCTCGCTACTACGAAAATAGTAGACATAAGAATAATTCATGATATGGATAAAAATATTAAAAAATTGTTCAGTCGTTTCTTTATTAACTTCCCCTTTGATAGAAATATTTTGATCTCTTAGTGCTTTTTGCCGTCGAAATGATATATATATATGTTGTGGTCAAAATTAAAATTTTAATTTTGACCACAACATATACATTCTAAATATGAAAAGGCATTACCAAATATATTTGGAGTAACAAAAAAGAAACTTCTATATTAAGTACTTGATTCATTGTACTATATATTTAGGTGAATAGTGCTTATAGAGAAAAATAGTGTATGACGTGCGTTTCAGGTTTTCTACTTCATTATTTAGTTTCGAAAAACTTTTTAAATAGATCCAATGAGTAAGAACTGTGGCTAAGACTAGGAAAGAATAGATATAACTCATATACCTTCATATTACAGACAATATTAAAATTCAGGATTTACTAGTAAATAAGAGATACCAAGTAACATCGATTCCAAGAAAGTCAGGAGTCAAAGAGCATACAACAATAGTGTAGTTTCATTTCTCTTCAGAGATTAGATTCATGGCCATGTAATTGTAAATAATCTAGCAATAGTCTTCTAGCGAAATTTAACATATTTACTTTATCTTCCAAATAGTGAAAAAATCTCCTAGTGAATAAGCAAGATCCGACAATTTAAATTTAAAATGCATGAGATCCTTAACACTTAAGTTAGTTACTTTTTCTTGTAAATTTTTTTTATTATTTGGAAGATAAAATAAAACAGAAAAGAATTGCTAGAAAGTTATCACTCGATTATTTACATTTACATGACCATGAATCTATTCTCTGAAAAGAAATGAAACTGCACTACTGTTATATGCTCTTTAACTTCCGACTTTCTTCGAACCGATATTACCTGGTATCTCTTATGTATTAGTAAATACTGTATTTTAATATTGTTTGTAATATCCCAAGCAGTCAGAAAAGTTAAATGGACGCGTTATAACAACCGTTTTGCGTTTTATCTTGTAACGCATTTTGCACAGTCAAAAATGTCCGATTTTACGCGTTTTAAACTGTTGATCTCGAAAATGCGTTTTAATCGTTTGTCTCTTCTACCATTTTAACGTTGTGAAAGCTGAAAAAAATGCGATTGTTAAAACGCCAAAATTCGGACATTTTTGATTGTGTAAAATGCGTTACAAGATAAAACGCAAAACGGTTGTTATAACGCGTCCATTTAACTTTTCTGACTGCTTGGGCAAAACTTATATTGCACTTATTTCCGTATATTATGTTGGTATATTCATTTTCTATGTCTTGTACAAATGAAGGACAGTTATGTTGAATTCAGTTTTCTTCATATGATACGCTTAAATGATTGAGAAATTAAACTTTGGTCACATGTACAGTTTTTTTTTGGACTGATACTCATAGCTCTTGAAGGTAGCTATAAGGTGAGAATGATTTCAGAGAGAACTTTGATAAAATTGATGAAGCAAAATGATAGAACGATTCTTTAGTATGGACATTTCGGATGTTTACGTTGACGGATATGTTTTGTGGGTTTTTTATATTGATTTCTCTTTTGTATTTGATTGAAAAACTGAATTAATGAAGCATTAATTATTGATTTTTTGAATCACCGATTTCTCGAATCGAGTGAGCAAGGTGTTTATTTGATAGATCTTGTCGAGTCGCATGGAGAGAACACTTCTGAGTGAATTGTGATATATTTTTCGCAATTTTGTATAGTTTTTGATGATATTTCGATTTTCGTAAGGAATGAGAGGTTTGTTTCAAACAAAGGTGGTGTGCATCTGGTGGAGCTCATCAAGTTTTACTTGAAGAGCAGCAGTTAATCGTAAATCCTAACCTAAGATATCCTAAATATTTAAACTCGAATCTTTTGTCTGTTTAACTGGTTATATTTGTAATGGTGAAATTTTCTTTTTATGTCCTATGTATGTGTTTTTTTATTGAAATTTAAATGTCTTTCTCTTGAGTTATCCATTATAAAATTTGTTTTATGATTGAATGTTTGAAAGTAGTTGTTGTTTTGATAAACTCCGGAAATAGTCGGCACCACATTTTTGCATCCATCGAGAATTGTTTATAGGTGGATAATATAAGTAACATGTTGGATCGATAGGTGTTTTGAACTCATCTGATGGTGGAGATTTGAATAATGATCCAAATGTACCCATTACACTAACAGATACAAATATTATAAGAAAAAGTCGATCGAAAACTAAAGCAATAAAACGCCATTCTTCAGCGATCTAAATATAATAACAGAAAATACATAAAATTAGCAATGATACTAGAATTCATGGAAACATGAAATGAAATTTGTTTAATAGCTGAAGAGTTTAAGTATGATTTATAATATTGTACATGAAATCTTATCGAATCGACGATTGTTTGAATAAATCTTTTCTTTGGCTTTTATAGGATTCATATGACTATTTTTACTTTCTTTTTTTATCCAAAGCAATAGAGTTTCTTTGAAAATAAGTGATGCGGAAATATATATCACTGTTAGATGCTGTTCAATTTCATATTAAGACTACGAATAAGTTTTGGTGAGATTCAGAAACATTTAAACTATTGAAACTCATGACCTCCTGTGAAAAAGTTATAACCACTGTAATGAAATTTTCACTGACAGTAATACATTCCTAAAAAAAACTCAAAACAAAGAAATTTGACTTATGATTTTTTTGTACAGACACGTTTGATCGTCCTGAAAGTTTCAATGAAAATGAACATGTCTTTCTCGAAATAGTCAATTGCGATAACCACTGAGGATTTACTATAGGAGAACACATTAGTTGAGTCTACTTTGAAATTGAATACTGCAAGAAAATAGACGTTCATTTTCATTGAAACTTTCAGCACTATGAAGTTTGCTAATGAACAAAAATTTCTGTCAACATTTTCATTTTATTTTCATCGATTTCTCATTTTAGCATGTGCCCAATCAATTTTTCTATTCTTAGTTATTATCCTTGCACCAGGTCCAAGAATACGATGTCAAAGATGACATTTTCCGTCTTATTAAGAATGTAGTTCCTGTGGATATTTTATATCGATCATGATCAGTTTGTTGTTTGCTCTATCCACAGTTGTAGTCGACCTTCATCAACACCAAACAAAAGTTTTGAAAATCGTCGAAAATTCGCCTTTTTTATACTTTTTTTTTCATCAATTCCAACTGATTTTAAGACTTGTATTTTGTATTAGACAAAAGCTACGAATCGGTTCGAAAGGAGCGTCCAAAATTGATCACAATTGACATGAAGAACCGGTAAGAGTTCGATAATTCTCAATACTAGCTACATGTTTTTTTTGCAAAAAGAACTAAAACCAATTCCTTGAATTTCTCACCAAAGTTTAGAATATTTACAACGTTAAGAATTATCGAACTCCTTGTGATTCTTTACATTAACTGTAATCAGTCTTGATCCGATGCTATTTTTAGCTTTTGTCTCATGTAAAACACAAGTCTCAAAATCAATAGGAATCGGTCAATGCCAAAACCTTTGTTTTGCGTTTAATAAATTTCAACTACAGCTTCGAATCTTTGACATTATGTTCTAGAAATTCATGTATTCCTATTAGTTACCTGTAATTGAAATCAAAATTCAATTGACTCTTCAAGCATGAAGTCAAATATATGACGAGAAAAAAATATTTTCTCGTACTTCAATCATGAACTACAAATCGATATGATAACCGAAACTTACTTCTTTTTCATTTTGAGCATTTTCAATTTGTTCTGCAATATAAGCAATATGATCAGCTGTTATTCTAGCAATATGTCTTCGTTGATCATTTTTCCATGGAAATGTTGATGATTGATTATCAATATTTTCAGAAGAATTTGATTTTACATATACATATCTTGGTGGTATAGGTGGTCGCTCCATAAATAAAATTTTTGGTAAATAAACTAAAAGAAGCTTTCTAATTAAAGGGGACATGTGTGATGTTGAATGACGACGAAAATGTACATTTAATGTTATGATTGTTATTATAATCGATAAATTAACAATAACAATTGTAAATAATAAATATTTACCAAGTAATGGGATAACTAATGATGTTGGTGGAATAAGTTCAATAAGTAATAAATAAAATACAAGTAAAGCAACAAGAATAGAAATAGATAATGTTATTTTCTTTTTACTGTCCGATGGTAAAAGAAAAACTAGTACAGCAAGCACAGATATATTAACGCATGGCACTATTAAATTAACTATATAAAATAATGGTTTTCGTCGTACAGTACATGTAAATGTTAAATCAAGAAAAACTTCAACACAACATGCATATAATTTTTCATGACGAATAGCTCGAAGATCTTAAAAGAGTTTATTACAAAAAAAAAATAAATATATATTTATATGAATTATCATACTTAAAATTTCCCATTCAATAGATGGAGTATAATCTTCAAGGTCCCAACCACGTTCAAGAACAGACGATTCATTATTAGTTAAAAATTGTAAATTAACAAGTGAACCCTAAAAAGCAAAATAAAATAAATTTTTAGTTAAAATAAATTTTCTTTTATATATTTACATGATATGACCATGTACCAAATTTAAGTGTACAATTTTGTCTATCAAATGGATAATATTGAATATCAATAAAACAATAAGATTTATAAACCATTGGAGGATTCTATTTAATGAAAATTAGGTTTTTTTCATTTAAAAAAAAACAAAAAACCAAGAAATAATATCGAATATCAACGAACCCATTGTACAACTCCATCATATCGAACTTGTACTTTTGATCTTGTTGTAATTTGATAATCACCATCAGCATCTGACATGAAAGGTAACAAGATTTTGATTATCTATTTAAATAATAATATCTGATTTACTATTATAGAGAACAAGATCAGGTTTCCAGATTAATTCACTAGGAAGTTGTATGTATTCTACACCATCAAATTCTTCTGGTGACCATATAAAACTGAAATCTTGCCATTCCTAGATAATATATCAAAGATATTAAATTTAAAGAAAGGTACTAAGTGACTTACATGAAGTACGTAGACATGTGTCTGCATTAATTGATTTTTTTCATCCTGAACGAAATTGGTAAACTATAGATTATTCATGTGTGTTTTGCTTTTCTTATTAGTGTTAGAAGATTAGGTACTATTGCTAATCTTATCAATAGTCATGTACTGGTTGACAGATGGGCTCTTTCATCTTGTTTATTCGTTACTTGAATTGAGACATGTATATGTATACATCCACGTCTTTTCTCTATACTTACAATTTTTCTACTGACAACAGGAAACAAGTACATCCCTATAAATTATATCCTTTCCTTTGTTGTAACTCAATTTTATGACGCCAATACATATATACAAGAAAAAACTGAGTGATCGATTATTTCATATATATACATACAACATCAGCTATTTGAATAAGTTTAAGACCGATTTTGACGTTAACAAGATCAGAATTATTTCTTACAGGACGAACATTTTTATTATAATTTGACATCAAATGATGATAAAGTTCATTAGCTTTTTGACAATGAACTAAAATAGAATACAATTGATTATTCGTGATGTTTCAATTATTTAACTACCTAAGGTTAATACGATATTAAATAAAATAAATGAATACAAAAAATATTGCTTCATCTTGAATGAACAACAACAACAACAAGTACTTTAATAATGAATGGTATCATTTGTGTTTCGATGAATCCAGCTGTGGCAATGACCTCGTAGTTTTTTTTTCTATAGATTATAATGACGAATAATTGATAATGATCAACTTTGTAATAGTCATTTTCTCTTTTTTTCTTTCCATTTGGTTTATATAGTCTCGAATCGAAGCACAAAAAAATGCAGTTCGTATGAGAAAGAGAGGCGAAGAAGAAGAAGAAAAAAAGAAGAGAGCAGATAGAGACGAAAGAAAGCGAGATGAAAGACACTCTTGTCATCAACTATAATATTGATGACAAGAAAAAAAAGCAACGTATACAGATAGAGAACGAGTGATGACAATTCCAAAATAAGCAGAAGAAATAGCATCCCTTCGTGCATATAGTTTGTTGACTAAATTAGTCATGCAAATATTGAGAAGGAAATGTTTGCCAATGGGAATACTCAATTGTCCATGGATTTATTATACGAGAAAGAAATCAAATTGAAGATATTGTAACCTTTCAATCTGATTTAATTTTCTCATCACTTATCATATTCTTGTATCTCAAAGTAAACCCTTGAATAATAATGAAACTATTAGCAGAAAAAAAAAATCATATCCAGAAAAATTTTAATTAGTTGTTTTGATACAAATTTTTGTGTTACATTCTTTCTTATATTCCAAATATTTTGTTTATTACATTAATTAAGATGTGACAGAACCATCTGTTTCAATTGATAATTTTTTTTTATTAGTGCATGTTTCATGACGATGGGGGGTACTAAACGAATCATTGTCTAATATTGATGCTTTCTTATTTCTTCGTATTTATCTCAATCATGCTTGTTCATTTGCATTTATTGATGCATGAACACTTTGAAAAGTCTTATTTTCATTTAATCAAAATAATTTAACAGACAATGAAAATAACTCTAGAAACTTATTGGTATATCGTTAATGGTAAAACCGAAGTACATCATGGAAAATAGCAAAATTTTCTCTATCAATAAGACGAACAGCTGTATGTCTTTTTTATCGATTATGATAAGAGATACTCTTGAGTTCTAACTGATAAAATACAATTTTAAATAAGTATACTCGTTACAATATGAACGGAAGCTTTATATCAATATTCAAAATATCGTTTTATTGTATAAATTAATTTAAAAAAAGATATGAACAATTAAAACCAATGAGATTGGATACAATCAGTACGAAATTCTAGTTCACAAATCCAACACCATGTCATACCACAACGTGTACAAGATATTGCATTGCAACCACCTATGTATCAAATAATAAATATTTTATTTCAATAATTAAATTATCAGCTTTTTTTACGAACCATCTTTTTCAGTATTTACGGAACATCTTGGACATTTTTTGAAAGTACCTAATGATGATTCACGCTGACGACCAAATAATTGATTCCAAAACTAGTAAAATACCATAAAACTATGATGCGTATTTCTAAGAATCATCTTACTGAAAATGCTTGATTATCATTTTGTCTATCATCTTGACATGAACAAGTTCGAATTGTATCATCTTGCCAAAGCCTTTTACAACTTCGACAAAATGTTTTCTAAAATAAAAATTTTAAACAATTGAAATCAAATAAATATATCTTTTATCTTACTCCACAACCAATAGGTAATGGACAAAGTATTTTTAAATTATTTTCATCAAATATAAGTCCACAACCACAAGATGGAGTTGGACAAATAACTCCATGATGATACAATACATATTCTTCAGCACCAAATGTTTTATATCGTTCATACTAATAATAAATAATAATTTTAAATCTATGTATATTTATTTTGAATATACATACATTTGATTTATCCATTAAACGAAAAATATGTAATTCATGAAGAAGTGTATTTGGACAACCACATGGACATCCAAGACTATATCCAATATTTGAATCATATTTAAATTGACGACTATTAAGTTTTGTTATAGCATATTGTTTAAAACATGAAAGACATACATGATGATTACAATCGAATACAATAATTAAATTACTTTTAAAAGAAAAATATTTAGATAAATTTAAAGTTTCATTTAATTTACTTACTTATCATATAAACAAATACAACATTCATGTTCAGTTTCATTGTCTTTTATTATTGATGATAAATGTACATCTGAAGTGCTACTGACTTGACAGGCCATTACTTGTTGAATATATTCAATTTCATTTCTTATTGCTGAAATACGTATTGACCTCGTGCTTGTTTTTTGCTTACATCAGAAACGATAAATCCTATTGGTCTTTGTGATTCTACCATTGCAAATTCTATTCGCAAGACGACGCTATCAATTTGTTCGATTTGTTTAATATATAATAAACAGAAGATAATTGACCCTCTAGGCATTAACCTTTAAGTTTTACATACAAAATAATCAATAATAGATAGATTTCATGATAATTTAGATCTGATTGACTTTCAAGGAAGAGTTTCTATATTAAGAATATATAACTGAAGGCACAAAAAAATAATTATTTTGCTGCTTTCCAATGGTTAATGGTTGTTAGTGTAATAATAGAGTATATTCTTAATGTTAAATTACTGAGCATATGCTTTATTCATTAATATATCCTGTTAAGAATACAGTTCATTGTGTAGAAAATAATAAGATATAATTACAAAAAGCTTGTTAGCGCAGCTCCTTTGGAGCTGAAATGTGGAACTCACGTATATCCTGCAAGCTTGTTATTTTAATGCATCATTTGTAAACTGAAAAATAGTTTTTTTTCAAATAATTATGAAAGCATTGAAATATTCTATAGCAGTCGAACTCATATTCTTCATACTGTTCAAGTAGTTTTTTTTATTGTTAAATAAATCTGAAGCCTTTTGTGCGCGGTTGCTGAGGTCTGTAATGGGTAGGAAAAGCCGCAAAAACTTGAACTTAAAACTTACACTCATTATTTTCTTCGAAAATATACGTAAGTTTCACAAAACAGATCAATAGAAACTTAAAATATCGATCTAGAGATAGAGTTCGAAATGATTATAAATTACTTACAAGAAAAAGTGATAAATATTTTTTATGATGCTTTCTTACTGACTTACTCATTACATCTTTTATGAAACTCTGAACAATAAACTTCACTAGAGTACAATATTTTCAAAGCCAAGATATTGATTTACACGTCAAACGTTCTATCCATGTTCACTTCTATTGAAATAATTTAAGTGCACATTTGTAGATAAGAACTAAATTATTAAGGTTTAATTTGTTCTGACTATAACGTCATTGTGAGACTTCAATCAAGAAAATAAACTCAACAAAGCATACGCATTTGCGAAATTTAATATCTCATAGAACAACTGTTCCATCTCTTCTTTTTCTTTTTATCAAAATATAATACTGTCGAAAAATTTTCTTTTCTTCTTTATTTAATAAAACAAAACAAAAACAAGCTATGTTGTTACTATTATTCTTTTTCTATTCTATTAATTTTGTAATGTCATTAAGTAGTCAAGAAGATTTATCAATAAAAAAATATTCTCAAATTGGTTGTTTAATATTAAAATCAGATAAAAAATTTATTGTTAATAATATTCAAGAAAATTCTCTTTTATCTTATCAAACATTCTCTAGTTCACATATGACAATTGAATTATGTTTTCGTCTTTGTCGACGGTGGACTATATTAATGTTTAATAATCAAACAAATTGTATTTGTTTATATACAATTAATGAACCATATGAATTCAATGAATATCTAGGTGAATTTTTACCAATTAATAATTGTACATCAAATGATATAAAAATTTATTCTTTAACTAATGATCTTTATATATTGCCCACGTTATTATCATCAACAAGCGATGATTGGTCATTAGATGGTTGTTATTATTTATATGGTATTCAGACAATTCGTGTTGATCTATGGTTAAGTGATGTTGATTATATTCAAGCTATGGATTTATGTCAAAAACATTGTCGAAAAAATCGTCGTACAAATTATTTTTCATTTTTTTTATCACGTAAAAAATCTTGTTATTGTGTACCTGTTAAAATTTCTCAAACAATTAAACCCATTGCATTACGAAAACCATTAATACATTGTTCATTTCTTCCATATATATGTCATGGATTTTCAAATTTATGTGAAAAATATTATTCAAAAACAAATATTGATACTTTAATTAAAATTGATGTTCAACATTATTGTTCGACATTAAATTCAATTTCATTTGTTTTCGATAGAACATTTTATATGTGTTTTACATCTATTTTACTTCAAACAGAAATGGATTTTTCAATAACAAGTAATGAACACAAATGTTTACCATTAGTTATAAAAACATATGAACAATGGAATTATTTAATTGAATCATCATGGATAACACATATAAAAACATTTATTTGGATTAATCACAATTCAACATATATATTTGATGATTTATTAAAATCTGAAAATCTAACATCATTGTCAAATAATTTTTGTATGATTATTATTCGAACAGAATCAAATAATATTTCATATGAACTGATTCAATGTAATGCTGTACAGTTACCTGGTTATATTTTATGTGCACAAAAACCTTTTGAATCAGCAATTTCATATGAAGAAGAATTTAAAATGACGTATGTAGATATGCATAATACCGGTATATCCAATCAGATAAGATCAATTGTGTAGTTTATTTGATAAGTTTTGAAAATCATAGAAATATAATCAGACTCGGAATATCATCATTTTGGAAATAGCCGGTAGTGAGATTCGAACAGATGACTTATGAAATATTTTGTCTAAAACATTTTAACTATTATTGTGACAACTACATTAAATCATAGAGAAGTAGTTTCTACAAGACTAAAACATTTTTGATAATTCTTCAAAAAACAATAGTTGTATTTGCATATGTTTGACTACTTTTCTTTATTAATTTTCATATTAATAATATTTTTCTAAACTTTGACAATTATTTTGATTAGAAACCATTGTTAACTTCTTATACTGATTGATAATTATTTATCTTGCTATTGATTAGATATTATGAACTCATGTTTTCTTTTTTCATGTGTTCAGACTAAGAAAGATCAATAGTTATTTTTATAAATAAGCAATTGACATATATATATATATTTAGAAATAATGAATCAGAATTAATCGTTGATGAAATATTATCATGTCCATCAGAATTTGTTTTATTTAATAAAATATGTTATTATGTTCATTCATCATTTATTTATAATATTCGATCAGGTGAACGTTTATGTTATAATCAACATCCAAATAGTACGCTTGTTAAATATGATTCACATGAATGGGGAAATATAAATGCAACGAGATTTCTTGGTCGAACATTTGCTGATATTTTAATTGAATTTTTTTATTATTTATTAGAAAATAAATTACTTATTGAATCAATAGATGCATCAAATAGAAAACATTGGTTACGATTACTGTTTGGTGATAGAAATGATCCAAATGAATGTGTTTTACGTTATTTTGCTCGTTTAACAGGTTCATTTACAACTTTTTATCATTGTAACAATGGTGGTCATCCTGTTTGTCAATGTGAACCGATTCGAACAATAATACCAAAAATAATACCGATTGATGAAACAATATCTCATATAAGAAATTCACAAACCGAAAACAAAACTGAATCAATTGATATAACTTCAACAACACAAATAATTGTTATAAATTCAACAGATATGTTAATTTTATCAAATGAAACAAGTTTATCATTATGTAAAAATTGCACAACAAATACTCTAGCTAATGAAAGTCTGGTTAATAATAATCATACTGAAATTAATTCTACATCTTATAATGATGCATTGCTAGGAATTCCTGATGGACAATTTAAAATGAACTATTCAAACTATCAACCATTGATAGTCATTCTTACGGGTCCAATTTTAGCATTTGCTATACTAATAGTAGGAATCGCTTTACTTATTCATCATGTTCGCGGAACACATGAATCATTTTCAACTAATAGTAGTATAGTAGGTACTCGTCGAACAAAACGTTCATCTACTATGATGACTACAAATGATTTTCCAAGTACATCGGGAGCTCTCTATGCTCGTTTCAAGCCTTCAGGACTACCATTTTCAGAAATTGATACGTTTATTCCTGTAGATAATTCAACACCAAATGAATATAATATGGAACTTTTACCTACACTTAAAGTGCAAGTAACAGATGGTGAAAATAAAATCAAAGAAGATGATGAAGAATTCTTCTATGCTACATTAAAGTGACATCTATGACAAAATAAAAATATATTTCAATTCACTTCTATCTTAGCCATTCGTTGATCATCTATCAATTAATATCAGCAAACCACACCACATAATTTCCTTTCTTATTTTTTTAAATAAACAAAATAAAATATGATTGCATGAAAAATTTCGTTTTCTTCTCTTATTTTATTTCTTTTTTTTTACAGATGTCTTTGCCAGGAAAAAAAACTCGAGATTTATCACAATTACCAACATTGTGTTATGAAATAAAATTAAATTTACCAATCAATTTTGATAGTAATCCACAAGAAATATCTTTTTTAGATTTAATTGCAAATGATTCAAAATTTGTAAGATATATTTTACCTTTCATTCCATCTTTTCTATTCAATAGTTGTCTTTTGTTTTTTTGTTAGAAAAATGATAAAGAAAGTTTGGAATTAGTACTTAGCTCTTATGTTAAAGCATGTGGAAAACAAAGCGTTAAAGAAATTCTTTCTGAACGTGATGTAAGTGTTGTTTTTTTCTTTTAATGCTTTTTGTTTTTCATATAATATTTTTATATTTAAGACTATTGTTGATGATAATGCATCATTATCTGATATAATTCGTGCATTAATGGATTATAATGATCAACAAAATGCTAATTTAGGTGTTGGTTATAATGATCCAGAAAATGATGATTCATTTATTGACGATTCGACAGCTGCACAAGATATAATACCAAAAAATATGACAAATGAACGAGATGGATTTTATGTTAATGAAAAACATCAACCAATTAAAGCTCGATATTTAAGTGATTCGAGTGAATCAAATAGTGAAGATGAAGAAATTGATGATAGTGATGATGACGATGATGATGAATCAAGTGAAAGTGAGAAAGAAGGAAAAGAAAAAAAGATAATTAATAATGTATGTATTATTAAACGAAAAAAAAAAAACGGTTTTATTATATTTGTTTTCTTGTTCATTTGTTAGAATCAAGAAGATTTAAATGAAAAAGTATGTTATTATGATTATGATATATTATAAATTCATATATATCATATATTTTTTAGAATGCAAAAAAGGCTAAAACAGATGATAATGCAATTCCAAAATTACCAAATATCAAACGTAAACGGTATGTCATCTATTAAATCATTGATCTGATGGGAAAATTGTCCAAACTAGTACTCACCGTTTGAACTTATATTATATTCACAGAGAGGTCTTCGTAAGATTAACAAAATTCTAAATGCGGTCGTGCGCCTATGAATATCTGGTGTTGAGTTATAATCATTTTATTGAATTTTCAATCTAAAAGTTTTAACCGAAAAGAATATTCCTTTGTCAAGATATTGAATTTCCGAAAAACTGATCGTTCACCACAAAAATTAAGTTTATTTGAAAATTTAGTATTTCGGCAAAGGAATGTTCTCTTCGCCTGAAACTTTCAGAATATTTCTAGAAACATCTTGTTCTCGAGAAGGATAAAACCAATCCACCTGAAATTTCTATTACAGATAAAAAACGACTCCAAAATAAAAATATACATGTTCGAAGAAAAGAATTTTTAAAGAAGGGTATAGATTGAGTACTGTTCGAAGTTATCTTCGAAGATATTTCAAAGATGTTTTTTTTTTTGAGCTAAATATATCAAAGTTTGGATCCAACACCAGATTATTGGTGTTCAGAACTCTAAAAATCCAGATAGGAAGATTAAAATCAAAAACGATCAATTTCAATTCTATAGAATACATTCAAGTATCTGTCATAAATGTTCAAAAACTTGGTTTAAATATTGTTTTTCCTCGTACATGTATCTTCTTAGTCTTAGTGCTTTATCTCTAGTGAGAATTCCAGGCAGATCAGTTACGCTGTCTTCGATAACTAGTTTTGTTGATATTGGCTTGCTTGAAAAGTATCTGATTGAATATTTCCAATATGAAATATTTATACTATAGATAAGATTGACTTTGTTCATTGAAGTTAATCCACTTATTTTAAAAATTAGAACTCAATACAAAAAAAAAGAATGATATCAATCAGGAATTTGCGCTTTCTACAAGCGAAAATGATCCTATGAAAAAAAAAAAATCTAATGGAATTTGAATTCGTTGTTGATTTTTTATAATGTATTATTTTATTTTAGAAGTATATCTGATATTGAAACACCTTCATTAACAACCAATTTTGATGATCAAATTAATAACAGCAAGCCAGTCGATGAAACAGTTAAAAAAGTTAAAAAATCAAGTGAAACAATTAATGAACAATCTATACCAAATGCAGTAACATATGTTTTACCAAATGAAATAGACAATGATATTAAACAATCGATCGAAAAATTATCCAAAGTTGGTTTTTAATTTTTTTTTTGTTTTTGATTAAATCTTTGAGTTTCTTTTTTCTATTTAGTTAATTTCATCTGATCAAACAAATACTAATGCTCAAAAGAAGATTGAACGTCTTTTTGATTCTACTGTGTGTCGTGAATTACTTGAGTAAATAATAATTTTTAAAGAAAATATTTTGAAAACATTTTTCTGTTTTACTTTCAAGTTTGGTAAAAAAACTTCATCGTCATACAAATGCTAATCGACAATTAGTATTTGATATTTTAAGTACAAAAACTGGTATATGTGCTTCATTATTAATAACACGAGGTCGATTATTATTATTAAATGATTATGAACCATTGGTGGTATCAATGTCATTAAATGAACTTCGAGACAAATTAAAAATTGAAGTTAATCGTTCATTAGAATCACACATACAAGCACATAATCAAGCAATAAAGTTTGTTATTTTTGAAATTATTCTTTTGAATAAATAAATTAGTAGTTTTGTAAAACACTATCTGAAAGGAATGTCGAAGAATAGCAGTAGAAGTTTAGATTCAGCTTATTGGTCCTAAAGTCTAATAGGGTGTGACACTAGTCTGACGGGTTGTACTAGCCTCTTCCGACATGACAGACATAACCACAAGATGAATGTTCACTGCAATATATTGTGATTAATATCTTGCATGAATAGTAGTTGTGAAATCATAAACCGCAACATATATTGATTAATACCCTCTATTATAATACTAGTAGATTCATTGTATTTCACATTTTTATTTCATCGGGTTATGCTAAAAGGTTTCTTTTAATTTTAGAGAATGGCAAAAGAAAATGGTTGAAAATCCATCAAAAGATAAAAATCGAGGACCAAGAAAAAATTTTCGTTTATATAAAACAATAAAGTACTTTTAAAAAACTTTTTCTTTTTTTTTTTTACAAATCATTTCTATTCGATTGTATTTTATAGTGAATTAATTATTCGTTGTATTGATCGTAAACTTGAAACAATGACAATATTTGATTCAGATTCATTAGAATTATTTCTTCATGATCATATTGTATCATTATGGGAAAAACCTGGATGGATGACAGCAAAGTATGTCTTTAAAAAAAAACAATCAATTAATATTGTTTGAATTTCTTTTGTTTGTTTTTCTTTTAATTAGAAAAATCATTAATGAAGTTATTAGACTTGAATATCGACCATTACGAGATATGAATGTACCTTTAAATCAATCATCTCAAGTAGAAGTTTTATTTTATTTCATAATAAATTTTATTTTTCTTTTTTATTAGGCAACTCGAATAACAACAACACCTTCAATAGCTGAACGAATAAAGAAAGATACTCCAACGATTCCACAACCACCACCGCCGCCGTCGGCACCATCATCAAAAATATCAAATCCTAATCCATCGCCAACAATCAATGCAACAAAAGTTTCTCAACAACAAAATTTAAAAACAAATGATATCAAATCTTCTATTCATCCAACCACAAATCCAGCTCATGGAAAATCATTAGAAATGGCTACACGTGTTACAACTAATCCTATTAAACAGCATACACCGCATTCAACGCCGACTGAATCAATAACTAGTCAAGTAAGTTTTTTGTTTGTTTTGTATAGAATACATTTTTTTTCTATTATTTATTTATTTAGTCATCTGAACAGTCATCAATTAAATCTACGAAAACTGATATTGTTCGTCCAATAGTAAAACCAGCTATAGTTTCTCCATTATCACAATCCGATTCAATAATTAAACGTAATTCAACATCAAATTCTTCAAATGTTATTGATCTGACTATGGATTTATTTCCTCAACATAAAAAACATTCAAATGAATCCTCAAATTCAACTTCAAGAATAAATACTCATTCTTCTTCACATAAAGATTTATCATTATCACAACGACCAACTTCTTCATCCACATCATCAATAAATATATCCATGCAACAACAACAACAGCAATTTGCTACAAAAATTACATCTGAAAAATCTCCAGCTGGATCTTTTCTTAAAGAGGCTCTTCTAACTGGTTCATCATCACCAAAACTTTCTGCGTCACCATTAGCTGTTGATAATATGCTGAATAAATCACTTAATAGTCCAAAAACGAAAACAAATACATCAACTATGAAACCACCACCTCCACTCCCACCACCTACAACAACAACATTACAAAGTCCAACAAATCATACACAACGTTCTTCTAGTTCAAGCAAAAGTAGTACAAATCGTCCCTCAACTGATTATACTCATCATCGAACTGATCAACAAGTTAGATTTTTTTATTTTTAATACAAAAAAATACAGGACAATTTATTTATCTAATATTTTATTTAGGTTCAACAACAAAAAACTCCATCATCTTCAAATCGATCACAATCAAGTACAGCATCACCTACGTCTATTTCACCATCATCACGACGTTCAACGACGGGCTTTTCTTCTACACATGAACAACAGGTAAATATAAATTTTTTTCAAGATGTTCTGTAGGTATTCATTGCTCTCGAAATATTCAATCTGATGAGATCATTAACAATTCTATTAAATAACGAGAGAATGTTTTCAACTGATCAATCTCTTTTGAACTTGTACCCTGTGTACAAGAGAGAGTCCAGTGAGATTTGAAAAAGTTCAGAATAATAAGTCCTTTTAGACCTTCTATTGAAAGTTA